AAACGACTTGCTTAAGGTCTTATAGCTTCTAAATGGCAGAGCTATTTAGAGATCTATGGAACATAAATCTTTCTGGTTCTGAATCTGTGCTCTTAATCTTTAAGCTCTATTGAAGTAAATTTTTTGCTATTTACCCAAATTAGCTGCTTACATTGATATTTATTCATCAGAGACATGTCAGATTGTGACTTCATTCTTCCTCTTCGTGAAATAATAAAGGGACACAGTATTGCCAAACTGCAGAGTTATCAACGTTCCTGTTGAAAGGTGTAACAATTGATGTAAAAAGTAATCCTGGACTCTCATTGATTAATATCAATCAATAAGTTAGCTAATCACTTGTTATTCAATTGTGCATATGTATTTTCATAATTTGATACTGTTATTGACCATATTTGAATCCAAAATGCAGAGATAAAGAAAACATAAAGCACAGAAATAACAGTGATTGCGTTAAAGGCATCCATGTTCCTTAGAGGTGGAGAGTGTTTTTTCCTATTTTATTGAAAATATAATATCTGACATTTTAAATATAAACAATCATTAGAATTAGAAAAACTTAATGTTGTAAATGTGAAAATATGCCTCATTTAGGTACATGTATATATTCCTGATTTTATTTTGGAGTGTCTTCATTAAAATGTATACCTTCTTGAAAAAAAAAATATATGCAATCATGCCATGTTTCATAAACACATGATTAAGTTTTAAAACACATCCAGCTATATAGATATAAATAAATATGCAGACAGACCCCCTAATTAAAAATGGTTGTGTTTCAAATTTCTAAAAAAATAGTTATGTTTTTAGGCCAGCAACTACAATTTGTATATTTAATCCACAATGCTTAGAGTAGATCTTAAGTGCTGTTTAAGATAAACCAAACACCCTCTACAGTATTGTTTCTAGAGATAAGCTTGATTTCATTCAACAACAAATCTTAATAAGACAGTTATGTCACAAACTGTGCTAGAAGTTAGCAATACAAAGTACAATTCTCAGGAGATTTATAGTCTAGTATGGGATACAGAAAGGCAAATCAATCATTAGAGTTCAGAGGCATACAGCGGTGTGGTAACACAAAGCTGTGTCATCATACTTAGAAGACACATCAGCAGAAATTTCCAGAGTGAGGTGATGGTGATCCCTGAGGGTTCCTAGGGGTGAAGAGAAGTTAGCCAGACACACATTGGGATGATGTGAAGTTAGAGTGTGGAGAAAGAGGTACACATAATGAAGAAACATCTCCCTCTTTCTTATAAGAGAGGGTTTTTCATCCACGGGGTGATTGACATTTTGGGCAGGATAATTCTTTGCTGTGAGAGGCTGTCCTATGCATTTAGCAGCATGCCTGACCTCCACCCAGTAAAGGTCAGTGATACCGAGACCTGCCCCCTCCCCCCTCCCGGCCCCAACTCAAACCAAAAATGTCTCCAGATATTACCAAATGTCCCCTGGGAAGCAAAATCACCCCTAACTGAGAACTACTTCTGTAAGCAAAAAGAGAGACAGCTATCTTTGGACACTAGATGTACTTGCTAACTCCACATTGACAAAAAAAGGGCAAATCATATTGGCATTCTCCCGAGTTGCTTCCCAGATACCCTAAATTGCGGTGGGTGAGAGAGAGTTATGTGGTTTCTTATGTACTGCCCAGCTACCTGAGATCTAGTATTTACAATTCAGGGATCGCCCATTTATATGTATAAATATAGGTACATACACATACATACAATGCAGAGACATAAATCAGAACATATCTAATTGACCATGATATTTAATGATTATCCAGCTTTCATTCCTATGTCTTATCAGAAAAAAACTTCATCAACTTACCAGAATACAATATATGTCTCTTGGCAGAAATAAGAGTTGACTCAGCCTTACAAATACCATGATACTGCATGAATTTCAAGAGTCTCCTTAAAGGGGAAACATCTATTTAGGAAGTTTCATTATATTCTTCTTTAAAGAAAGAATAAGCTATGAAATGATAAAATATGATTGGTTTAGTACACAATATATCCAACTTTAATCATTTTCTAAATCCAAAGATATTTTTAGATGAAAGCAAAGGAGGTCATTTCCAAATCATTTTGTGAAACTTAAGCCTACCCAGAGGAAAGGTAATTTTGTTTGATCCTGAACATCAAGTGAATTTGTTCACCAAACCAGTTATTCCAAAAGGTAATTAGAATAATGTAAAATTGATCCGGTATATGTTTAACAAAATTAACTAATTATAATCTGCTTAAACCATTTAACCTTTATAGTTCCTATAAAATGTTTGATTTTCTTTGGAAAAATAAACAATGTGCTTTAAAAAGCTGGTGCCTCCTTGTCTATCTTTCTTTTCTTTTTTTTCTTGGTGGATGATCCTATGCTAAGATGCCAGTATAGCAAAAAAAGTAGACAAACAATTAAGGAGAGAAAGGTAGATTTTTCTTTAAGTTGGCAGCATTTGTGAAAAAGAAAAGAAATAGAAGATAAGGAAATAAGACTTTATTTTTTACTAGTAACAGTGAGTTCCTTTACAGTAAGCACTCCAGTACTTACATCAAAACTGCAAACAAAAATGAAAGGTGTATCAATTTTCTCCTTCAGGTATTCAGATTGATTTATGGACAAAATAAGTATATACGGCAACTTAGCATTTGTTTGTTTGCAACCAGTTTCCATTTATTCAAGTCATTGTCAAACATATCTTCAAAACTTCAACAAATTGAAAAAGTCTAATTGTCTGTCACTGGCTACATCTATTTTATGCTTATCCATTCTAATCACAAACAGAAATACCAAGTAGATGTTAAGACTCGGAAGGGTTTATAGGGGCTCTTAAGTGTCCAGGAGAGGTATAAAATAGTTATGTAAGAGAAGAAATGCAGTGTGACGGCTCCATCCTTTAAAAAGAGAGGAAGAGCTAGGAACTACCTCAGGGAAAAAAATGGGAGCAGTAACCACAAGTCCTTAGGGACTTCCTAATCCACATCTGTCTATTATTATTTCATTATAACCTACTACTTTATTTGGGAGATAAAATTGCCATTTATGTCACTCCTAAAACCAAATGACATTATAAAAGACACGTAGTGGTAAAAGAGTTAACAGAAGCAACCGTCACTACGACACAGAGACAAACAAGTTATACACTGGGGAAAAAAATCAGAATATTTTTGATGGCAGCAAAGCAAGTCACCACCTCTTCTACTGAGGGTAATTTGTTGATTCATGATTTCCACTTATCCAATGATATTGAATCACATGAACAAATCTCTACATCTAATCAGATTTTTTTTATTGAATTGTGACCTTTAATCCACCTTCTTCTTGATTATGAATGACAGTGACCTTTATCTAATTTAAAGCAGCACTCTGATGCAAAAATATGCAAACTACTCATGTAAATTCTGAATCAAACTGAAGACGTGCATAATCTACTGGGGAGAAATTATTTCAGAAGACATTTATATTAAGGCTGAATGAGGTATTCGAGAGTAAGTGAATTAGTCAGCATACGAATGGTTGGTCGGCAGAGTTGTAAAGACCAAATGCTGTTTGTATTTTCTCGGCTTCTATTTAGAAAACCGAAATGTCAATATACATATCAATTTTTATTATTCTACTCAGCACTTTATGGCATTCGGGAAATGATCGCAATGTAATAAAGTCAGACAAAATTATTTTTCAGAGGGGTTGGCAAACTGTGCCTGAATATTCAATTCGTTTTCATTTCGATTCATTTTCTGCTGCACAAAAACCTGGTGAAATTCAGCCAAGGCACGCGGGCCATGTTGACTTCCTGATCTTGCTTTATTTCCTTAAAGAGGAACTTCGTGCCCAATAGAACTGGCAGTCAATAGTGTTTCTGGCATATATTTAGAAACGATTATCTCAAGGAAAAAAGTTAAGAGAATAAAAGAAGCCTGTTTGCCATGAGAATCGGATGAACATCCTGTACCAGACCTACCTCTCTTGATTCTCTTTCTTTGCAACAGCTCTTTCCTTTTTCTGTGGATTAATACAAATGGCTCTGAGCTGACATTACTGAGGGCAAACCCTGCCCTGGGCACAAACTAACATGCAGCCTAATCCTGTAATCCACTCTCCCCTTTCTCAAGCCATTTCATCCTACGCAGAGCTGTTAATGCAGACTGGATGCTGGCGCTTCCCAAATTCTACTTCACTTTCTATGTATACAAAAACACACAAATATAAGCATATCACACATGCCTAAAACACACAATCCACACGTCTGCTTTTTATTACACAGAGACACATGTATACGGGTTTACACGTGATAAAGACTATGTCACAGCAGGAGGCCATTGAGAGCATTTCGCTGTCAGAACTCCACCAAACTGTACCTGGCATGAGCATGTACTTTCCCGATTAACACCAGGGGGTTGTCAGATTGCTATATCTGAAATAAACAGATTTGCCCTGACAGATAATCAGCATTTTGCACTGCCTAATACATGTTTATCTTCCACTATTGACATAATTACACTAAAAGTGCACTTAATATAATCTTTCATAGGAAATTAAACAGGTTTTAATGATACACTTATAATGGATTGGGGACAGAGTAGAGGGAGAGAAATATCGATAGTAGATGTTTGGGGAGAACACATACATGAAGCAATGAAGAGGCAATCAACGAGCATCGGAAAAAATCAATGACAGTCTGTGTTTAAGGAATTCATTTACATAGTTTCCAAAGAAATCAGAAAAATCCTACAAGGCTGTGAAATACCCTCCTGACTTTCTCATGTCCTGATGCTTCTTTTTTTCTGATATGTGCTCAACTCATACACAGAAAAGGCTAAAAAAAAAAGATCCTCCTAGGATGGATTTTATATTTGACTAATTCATAGTCAACTCTTCCAAAAGTTCTCAATCTGGCTTTGGAACCACTGGAACTCCTAGTGGTGTGCACAGATCCTACTTGAAAGGAAATTCAGCAAGCTCTGCAGCTAACACCCATCGCCCGAGTGCCTGGGAGCACTGACAGGCACGCCATTTTAAGAGCCGTGGAAATTAACACATGTTGGTCATTAGGCATCAGGCCTCAAGGATATTAAATCAGGACCTGAGAAGCAGAGGTAGGTGAAAATATTAATTTTAATCAAAATTATAAATATAAACCCAAGCATAGGAAGCATCTTTCTTTAAGGATTTACCTTTCACGTCTATGGTCTGTCTTCCTGCCATATGAGAAGACCTAAGAATTTTAATTTTAAGGATCCGACCATCCTCAGATACTATGTTAGTAACAGTAAGAAAACATCAGTGCTTTGTTGTCCTGTGAATCTCTTTTCTTTTCTTAGCTACAAATTAAAATTAAGCCATGAAACATCTAAATATATATGTCTATGAATGGGATCCAGGGTCGTGTAAATTTAATTTTGGACAGAAAACAAAATGAATATGAAGAAGTACTGTCAAAGGTCTTCCATGAGCTCAGCATTGTTTGGGCATATAGAAGACACTATTTCATTTTTTACTATAAAACTGAGAAGTGGGTATTTCTATTGCTACTTTACAGATGAGGAGGCTGAACCTCAGAAAGATTAAATAATACTCGCCGTGGCTGGGATTCCACCTCAGGTCTGTGTGACTGAAGCTGGTGCCCTTCCTGTGCCATTACCCTTCCTCTGTAAATTCATTTCACGTGATTTTAAAAACCTTTGATTTTTGTTTTCCGATCAAAGATGCAGACTTTAAATCACGGTCCTATATCTCTTTTGATAAATTAGAAATCAGCATTCACAGTTACCTGCAGGCTGCTCCGTCCCTCTCTGAATCCAACGAAATCCCAGGAGCCAGTCTGCAATGGCTTTTCACTTGCTAATCAGAAGGATTTCACAAATAGTCTTTAACATCTCCATGGCTAAGGGCCTAAAAGTGAAATGACCGAGAGCTGAGACAACCAAATGCCTCTAGCCTGAGGCCAGAGCACCCCAATGGGGAGGGGCAGCCATATGTTCAGTGCCTTTACTCTGAATCTTCTGAGGATCTGCGAGATTTTTCTTTCCCCTGGGCCCTGGCCCAGAAGGGGATAGATGGGGAGCCCTGCATTCTACCCATGTTGGTGAGCCCCAAACTGCTTTTGCTGCTTCACTCCTGCCAGCACTGCCTCCTGAAGCCCGTGTCTTAGGCCACACATCCCCGGCCTTTTCCCAGGAGCGCCTTGGCTGCCAATTGTCCCTTTTAAGCTGTCCTGAAACCCACTCCTGACCGGCCCCATCTCCATCCTGCGTAGGCGTTGATGTCTGCCTGGGTAAGACTGGATTTGCCAAATTCCTTTTAGAATTTGATTTATAGTTGTAAGCTCTCTTTGTGGGATCTCTTATTGGATTGACTGTTTTATAGTTTGCCTTAAAAGCCCCCTTATTTCCTCTTTGCTTTCATCCTTACTTAGGACCCCAACCCCGCTTAGTGTATTCATTCCCAGGGAGCCAAAGCTTCAGGCCAAAGAATAAGTTCTCTTTGAGATTAATTACTATTTCTGTTCCATTTATAGTGTATGAAGATTTAATGATAGAAGTTAAAAAGCTGTAAACTGTGGTTAATAAGAAATGCCAAGGTCTGAATTCTTTAACTTCTTCTAAACACTTCTCTCTTCACTTCTCAAGATATCTCTCTTCCCCATGCCTCCACTACCTACCAAACTGCCTTATTTTCTCTGTCTTTTTTCTTCTCGTCCTGCTCTCATCTTTCACCTCAGTTCTTTCCCCAGGTGCCTCTCCCTTTAACTTCCAAAAGAAGAAGTCATATGCATATAATTTTATCTATTGAAATAATCTCTTTTCCTGTTGTCGTTTTTAAAATTGAGCACGTGTAAACTTTCATTTGCCGTCAGAGCTTAGGCCCAGTGTCTAGAATATAGCCGAGTCTTAAGTAATGTTTTGAGTAGACAAGTGGTCCTCTTTTTGCCCTTGAAACAAATTTTTAAAAATATATGATCTAAGCTAACTAGATTTTTTAAAAAGTTCAATCAATCATTCAAATATTAATCAAGAATAGTCTCTGGCCTTAATGCTGAGCTAAGGTCTGTGAAGGGCACTGGGCAAGGATGATCGTTACCCCAGTTAGCTTACAAGCTATTGGGGATACAAGAGTATGACCCATAAAACAACTGGGGAAATATGAGGGAAAAAACCACAATTAGAGGCTGAGTTGTGCAGTGTAAACTGTAGGTGCTATGAACACACAGGCAGGAGGTCTCAGTGACTGTGGTACTTGGTTAATTTTTCTGGGAAAAGATTGATAGGAAAGTAACATGTATAATAATAGCCATCAACAAACAAACAAAACAAATTTCCAATCCTGGTTTAAGACTTTCTACCAATTTTGACTTTGCTTTCCAAAGTGTGGATCTTATAAGCTAGTGAAGTTTTATTTTTGAGGCAAATGTTGATAACTGTCCGGTCTCAATTGATGGCTAATACATTTGAGACGGAGTTATCTGAATATTTTTTGCCACTGCAAGCTTTCCACAGGGAGTAAAATCCTTTCATTTTATTTTTAGTTTCAGGAAATTGACATCATTTTAGATAGGAAATTCAGTTATGTACCGGAAGAACTGAGCGAGGACGGACATGTTCTTCAAATGGTTTAAGGTCGTTTTGACTCCTTTGACTGTTTCTATCAACACCGTTCACAGCCACCATGTCCTCTTTTCCTCCTGCCCCGGTTTTTTTTTTCTCAAGGTAGGAATATCAACCAAGTAATGGAGAAATCAAATCTGAAAGGAATGTCTCACAGGCTAAGGAACTCACTCAGCAAGAGATGATGGAAGGGTAAGCTCAAATTTAAATTAATTCCCAACCTTTCCTGTACCAATGGTCGATGCCGAAGTTGGCTAATCCGGGCCAAAGTGATATATTAAAATAACTTTAAAGATAGGTTCTCAGGCTTTCTGCCTGCCAGCAGATAGGGGTTCTGGATATATAGGGCAGTCCATCTGCCTGATACTTCAAATAAGATCTAAAAAGAATGCTGGTATCACAGAATGGCATCGAAATTGTTTTTTCTTCGTTCCTCGAGAAATGTGTAGCTTGCTCAATTGCTACTGACCCATGTTCCCCACATTTTTGCCTCTTGGTTATGTGTTGATACTGTTTAGATTTTTGTTTATGTTACATATTTGATATTCAAAGGTCAAACGAACACAGTCTTTGAATCAGATTCGTACGAGTTCCATGTATAATAGTCCATCTCTTCACACTGGGAAGAAAAACAGTAGGGGACAGTTCAAGCTAGCCCAAATAAACAGAAGCAAAACCACAAACGCTTCCCTGTATAGACCCGTTCTTGCTCATTTCTCCTTAAGGAGATAACACCTTCTGACACAAGGACAGATCATTTTATTCAGTGATTCAGAGTCTGACCATTTAAAGACGAATTTTCACTTCATTTGTTTTCTTTGTATGCGTTTCTAATGTGCCGGTATATTTCGACTGGGGGAAATTTTCATTCAGATGCGTCCAGTGGAAAGAAAGGCAAGGAAAAGGGCTTTCCTCTACTGCCCAGGAGATTTTGAAAAAAGACATGACAAGCCAGAAGAATATATTTTTTCTGATGGGAACAGTTGTTTGCATGAAAATTTTAATTGTTACCAGAACTTCAATGAAGTTGCAAGGAAGGTAGTTAGATAAAGCCTCAGGTTAATTTCCATCGTTACCAAGCACTTTACACCACTGAAAAATTCCAAACATATAAAGAGACGTCAATCTTGTTCTTTAGACAGGAAAAAAAAAGGTGTGTGTGGGGGGGCAGCACTTCAAAGGCTGTCAGTAGACAAGTCAGTCAATTACAGATCTGATTTAGTTCTTAACTCCTTGAGGTAAAAGACGAATGTTCTGCAAGAGTAACCATCCTGCACGCATTAAATGAAAAAACTTTAAAAACTCTGCTATAATGCTAATACAGATAGAAGTGAAGAGCTATGAAAAGAGTTGAAAAATCCGAATCAGATATTCGAATCAAGACGATAAGTGGGTAAATACAAATGTTTTTGCTCCGGGGAGGGGTGTCCTCATTATCTTTAGTCATCTCAGCCAATTAGCCAGGAAGGCATTATTGTGTGATGTTTCGAAGCCATTATGAGAATAAACGGGTTCAAATCCTAGTTTTGACACAACAGTGTGGCCTTGGCTAAGTTACTGAACCTCTCTGTACCTAGATTTTATTATCTATGGAATGGGGTGATGGTTCCATCGACCTGACCTGATAGTGTTGTGCCGATTAAGTTAACACAGATGAAAGAATTAATATCTGCTGAGGTTTTACTTAATATTATGATCAATTCATACACAGCAACGAGTTTCATGATGTAGAAAATATATGTGGTATGATACAGTCCTTCCCGAGACATTTTGCATGTCTGCAGATGATCTGGGCATTGAATGTCTGCTGACGAAGCACATTATCTTCCCTCAAGCAGGGTTGCAAGTTTCTCTGGCCCCACTGAACACTCCTGAAGTTACAGAGAACTTATTAACACCCTCCATAGCATCCTTTTAAGATGATAATTTATCTTTTTTAACTGTATTCAATAAAACCAGCAGAAAAGAGCCAGGTGGGAATAACCACATGATATTACACACAGCTACAAGGTTTACCGGTTCTATAGATTCTGCTGCAAGGCGCACTAAAATGGAGTGAAATGTAACTTACCTTGAACAGTTGCTTGAATGAGTTACTAGAGGAATGGCAAGCTTACAGATGAAGCAAAAGAAACCTACGGGAGTTGAAGGTTATGACCAGTTTATTTAGGATGCACAGTGAAACCTAACTTAAGGCATACAAGTTAGGTCTTTGGGGAGTTTCCTAGGAGGTTTGCAAACAAATGTGAAAGTCTATAAAATATGTGCTTTTGAAATAACTCTGTATAAATGTGGTTTGAGATTCCATGGGGAGAATACCATCATACGTATCAAACACTGATAATTTGGTTGAAAAAGAATGCCTTGTTGTTTGCATTTTCTCTGTCCCCAAAAGATCTCCCTGGCCACTTTTTACCTCTCTCCTCAGCTTGACTGCTGACAGAGTATTACATGGCGTTCCTTTGTTCTGAAAGGGCATCCTTTAGTTTCACACTAGTCTCAAGTTCACACAACCAGGCAATCCCACACACCTTTCCATCTGTTAAGCTTTTCCTGTGCTCTTCTCAAACTTGTTTTAAATATGAGAGAATGACCCTCTTCCTCCATTAGTGACGAATTCTTTTCTTTCCCTGTAATACTGAAGATGTGAATGGAATCCTCCAGTGACAGTGTCTGGGAAGAAGATATTCATGGGCAACTACATGATTCGAATAGATAAATTCAATTAGCCCATCCTGGGAAGCCTCAGTTTACTTTACCACTCAGTATTTCAAAGAGTTTTCAAGAAATTCTAATTACTGCATAAGAAATAAGTCAAATTCCTCTTCTCTCACTGTGAAGGGCTTTTATTACCCACTGCTATAAAACATATATCTTTTTTTTTCCTGTTGCTATCCTAGCAGAGTAGCCTGCATACCAATAGGATCACTAAAATGCCACGAAGCAGAACATATTTATCTGTTAAATTCTACGTACAGTAACCTAACAAATGCCGGAGACAGAAAGATTGCCCTCTGCACAGTAATACTTGTGTAGATGTCTTCTTTATGCTAACAATGACAGGGCTTCATGCCTTGTACGGTACTCAAAAATCAGGGTGCATTTTTTTTCCAATGGAAGACTCTGTATCAAAAAGAAAAAGAACTGCACATTTTGGGCACTGAGATATTTTATGTGGATAATAAATTTTTTCCTTCGAACTCCACTAACTACAAGTATCTACCTAGAAGATGAAATCTAAGATTTATGTCATCAGAACTATTCAATATACCAGAGGATCATTTTTTCTTCTTTTCAAGACTGTCAACTTTGTTTATTGTTTATATTCAATTTCCTACTACACAAAGGTTAAATAGTCTTATCATACCCACACGCCAAACTTTCTTAGAAAAATAAGGTAATAAATGCAAAATTATATTAATAAGGAGAGCTTTCAAAGACATTACATTTATTAAAATCTAAATTGTAACTGGAATATTATAATTATATTTGTACTAATCAAAAAGATTTTTGAGTCTGTAATTTTATGACATTTACAATGTTTTAAAATTGAAATGACTGAGGAATGATTAAAATATTATTACAAGTAACTTCAAGGAAGCACATATGAAGTAATGTAAACCCAGGAATTGCCTTCATAAATCAGCATGTACATCGTCAAATCTGTTAGCCTCTTATATGCATCTTTAATCCAAACATAACCATTTGGCTATTGAAATCAGTCTTAAAAAATGATATCAAACAGTATTATGCAAACATAAGCCTTCTTTTCAGCCTTGCCACGTTAAACTTTTTCATAACACAATTTCAGTCTCAAAACAATAAATAATAGCCTGTATAATGACAGCAACCGAATGCTAACTAATTGTAATACTTCTGCATAGCCCAGTAACAATTTACGAATTGTGAAAAATAAATCTATTTGACAGGCCTGTTAGCAATAAGGCCTCGGCTTCTGGCTTTGCAGCAGAATGAAGTAAAATCTATCCTTTCCTTGCTGTTGTTAAAAACATTTCAACAGTTAGTTCTTTTTCACAGAAAATGCTGCAGGAAGGTTGCAGGTTAAAAAAAAATTCTTAACACGGCTGAATTTTACACTTGGCTATCATTGGCCAGGATACATGATAAGTTAAAGCATACTGAGATTATTTTTTTTAAGAGGGGAAACTTAATAGAAGATTGCATTTCTAGATTAGAGAGTGGACACTATAATCTTTCTGGCATTTAAAACTGAAGCTGACTGCAGGGAAAATAAACATTACAATACCGGCACGTCAACAATTGTACCTATACCGTTAAGTAACAAAAACGTGAGGCACCTGGAGTCACAGCATTTGTGCCTAATGCCAGCAACAATATAAAGCATTCAAGTGACATTTGATAATAAGCAGACAGTGGAGGCATTACACACGTCTTTAGAAGAATCAGACTTCCTACCTTGAAAAGACAGATGGAGGTAAGTTCCTTTATAAAAAAAAGTTGTAAGGAAAGCCAGGCAGCAGTTGCAGTAAATTGAGTCCTTTCAGGCACTGTATACATACAGCAGTTCTGCAATAAGGGGAAAAATATAATGGGAGGAGCGGCTGTGAGCGAGTGACCTCCTCAAGCTGAGTCCTCTCTGTGAACCAAGCACTGAAAGCCACTGCTCCTGATTTGCATGGATTATCTCCACTTGAACAGATACAGAGCAGATACATTTAAATTGAGCTGGCACAATGGCAAAAAGATGGAAGAGTGAATGAATGAGGGACAGCGCAAGAGAGGGAGAGAGAAAGAGAAACAGACACGAGATCGGAGAGCGTGGATAAGCTGCTTCTTTGCAGAACGGTGTCTCAGAAGAGCTACAGCTCCCTCTTCATGTCACAGTTGTAAGATAAGAAATGTTGTCATTAAGAACTGGCTAATCACAGGGAAAAATATACTGAGATTAGCTGATGCTCCATCTGATCTAATTTTTATAAACAATTTGTGACTTTCTGTTTTGTCATCAGGATTTGAGATAGCATGTTGAAAATCTTTTATTAGTAGCCAGGTAAACAAGTTTGCATAAAACTCTGAGTTTTGAATGAGCTTTGAGTTGATGGCATATATATCAGTGAGGGAACTTAGACAATTTTTTTAAGTAGAATATTTATTTTGAAAGACAATTAATTGTTGCTAACTTTTAAAGGGCTAGTGGTATATACTGTAAT